AACTTTACTCAAAAGAATGCTCTATAGGTAGAAATTGTTCAGAAAATTTAAATTTAACAATAGCCTCTTCACAAGGAGGAGTAAGAGGAGAAGTAAAAACTCCTCTTATTTATAACTGTTTTATTTGAATTCCATCTGAGTACCTGGCAAGCTTTAATGGGGAAAAAGGTGTTATATCCCTGTTACATTTAATAAAATTATAATGGCCTGAATGTTTCATGTTGGCTACACAGTGACATTTGAAGAATTATAGGCTTTCAGAAAGGAACCTTTTATTCATATACTTACAAGTTAGAAACTAATCTATTTAGAGGTTGTTATTGTTCGTGTAGCAAGGATGTAGAGCAACCAGTAATCCAGCAGACCTATACATGCCCATTGTTTTTCTTTTTCAGGAAGGTTCATTCCATTGGGGGGAACATACTAACTTTTGCAGAAACAAATGAGGCTTAAGTGGGCACATTTAGGGAAGAGATAGTTGGCCTTAAGACAAGGAGGGGTGAGAGTCCTTTATGTAAATAGATGTTAAATAAAATCTAAAAATATTTCTTTTTATAACATCACAGGCAGTTCAGACCTTAGAAATAAGAGCTCATGTATATTTTTTACAGACATTTATTGCAGCGTAAAGTATGTTGACACAGATAAACTTGCATCTGATGGAGCCAGCTCTGTTAATGAATTTGCAGTAATACAGATTTGCTGCATGACTTAAATATGGAGATTGCGGAAAACCACTTTAAGTTTGAGTCATCCATACATTCAGTGATGTGATGGATGTCGAGGTTAATTTGCAATAAATCCATTAGTAGTCATGGCACTGATGTGTCAGTGATTGTCATATAAAACCATGCATAAATAATAAAGGTGACACATTTCTTCACGTGCCTTTCTATGTTCCTAAAACGCTTGGAACGGTGATTGCGATGTACTGTTGCTGCACATTGAATTTACTTATATAATACAATAAAACATGTTTCTATAAAAATAAAATTAAAATAATAAAGCTAGACTGCAGTTTATTTTGTATAGACTTACTCCTTTATTTAACAGTTGAAGTGAATTTTTTTTGCATCATGCTATAAATCTTACCATGCTAGATGTTTTATGATGATGAACTAATATTCTTTTTCTCGTGAAAGCTGCCATGTGATGCAATTTAATATCCTTCTCATTGTCAAGTTCTAGTGAATGTAAATAATAATATAATGGGTTTATGTGGAAAAATTGCTAGTCCAAGCAATGAAATACTGAAGAGTTTAATAAGAACTAGGATGGAGGAAAGTCATTTCTTCAAAGGCATTTGGTTTTCACTCAACTTTGAAATGACTCCTACTTTGCCAAACTTATATTAAAATAAAACAACAATGTTGCAGTGTTCATTATTTTATACTTTTTTCGTTATTTTATATTTTTAACACATACGCAGACACACACACACACATTTCCACCACACGCACCGTCTGTTCTCTGTAAATGTTACTGGGCACTTACCATATGCCACGAATTGGACTAAGGTGTTACTGTATGATATCTCATTTAATTTTGGCAGAAGCTCCATGAGGTAGATAGTGTTAGTATCCTCCTTTTTTTCAGATGGGATATCCAAGACTTAGAATAAATAGGTTGGTCAAAGTCATTGTTGCTAGTAAATGATTCAGTTGGAATTTGAACCCAGGTCTGTTCAGAGCCTATATTCTTAATTTTTTAGCTGTCCGCTATAGTAAGTACATCATGTCCTTGTTCAGAAAAATGCATACTAAATGAAGTAGATTTTAAAACTGTAGTCATCTGACCCACTATATTTTACTGTGGGAGTACTGTCATATTTTTAAGGTTACTAGAATAGAATACACTTGTAATTTTCTATCTTGATAGAAAGGGGATTTAAGAACATAGGAGATTTTGTAGAGTTCGATATGATTTTTTTTCCTTTTAAGAAAGCCAAGATGCTTATAGAGGTGGGGAGAGAGTGGCAGGGGGGTTGGAACTGGACATCTAATTCTCTCAGTTATTGTGGAATTATGCTGATGAGTGCAATACAATCCACTGTTGTGCATACAGAAGAAGAGGCAAGGGAGAGTGCTTTCCAGATATATCTGGAGAAAAAAAAGATGCTAGAAATAATTGCATTGTTTGGCACAAGGTAGTAAAATTGTTTTTGCTTTGTTATGGTGAAACTTAAAGAACTGGAAAGTTGTTTTAAGAAAGACACTAGTTAATAGCATGCTAGTCGCCAGGTCTTAACACTTATTGAAACATGAGATGAAATCAAATCTTGAGTAACGATGTTTGTATTGTGACATTTATGTTACTGAAAATATAAACCTTTAAATTATCATCCTCCCATTCTGTAGCTCAGCAACTAGAAACTTTCGTAGTTCCCTAAGTTTTAGGACGTATACCCTAAACTAAATGTTAATCTACGTATATTAAATGTTCTGTCATTTCACATTTACATGTTATTTTTCTTTTTTTAAAAGCATTGTGAGGTGAAAGGACAGTATATGATCATGAGGTGCAAATGTCACTTTATGGATATGAGACATTAGAATATGATAACAGTTGGCCTTGATAAATTCAGACTGACACATCCAATTAACTTGTTCTTGACTGTCTTGTTATGATAACAGAAACATTTCTGTAATAAAAAATATACAGCAGTAGGAGTCTGGGTACTAGGTTTCCTCCTAGCGCTGCCACTTAACAAAGGTTGCAACTTTAGATAACAAATCCATCTTTATGACTCAATTTCACTCAAATGTAACACGGGGCTCCTGCTTCCCCTGCTTTCCATCCAGGAGTGGAGAAGAAATGAAAAATTATTGTGAAAGTGATATTTTTAATATGAAGAACCTCTGTGTGATGTAAGATGTTTTGCTTTACACCACCACCTTCTTCTGGTGATTCTAGAAAACATCTGAATTCTTAGATATGTTTTACATTGTTATGCAGCATCTCTAGTTTTGAATATTTGTCTTAATTCATAGGAACTACATAGTCACTAGAGAACAAAGTTAATTAAAAGGTGCAAAATAAAAGTAATTAAGTACCTACACTCAGAGTTCACCACCACAGTCTCCTGTTAAAGAAGACTTCACTTTTATATAGTCTTGTTCAATTTTTATCAAAGTAGGTTTTAGTGAAACATTTAATAGTTAATCATCTGAGAAAAATGACCAAGCTGAAAAATATTTATCAAATAGTTCTTGCTTATTAATATCCTGAGTAACAAGCTTCCGATAATATAGAACATAAATGGTCCTGGAGGCTCCAGGATTTCTGATACCCAAATCTCTACATTCTGAATGTTCTTTACTTGCATATTGACTGGTGCCTTTGAAGTACAACTTAACTATTTTCACATGAGAGAGATAAACTACTTTCATGCATTAGTATCCAAAAAAAAAAAAAAATGAATAGGGAATGCATAGCCTCTCTACCATTGCGTTCTAACAAGATTCTATTTTATCACTTTTACATTTAATATTATCCTGACATGTTTCTGTTGTCATGTCTACATACCAAGTCTTTCTGAACCAGTCAGGCAGGAGGCATATTGCAGAGGCCTTGGGAGTTTCTGAAAGGCCTTTGGAAATGTTTCAGACAGACAACAAAGGGCAGTTGGCTCCAAAATACAAAATGAGAAAACAAAATATTATCAGCTATTTAATTAAATGTACTCAAACATGACATTAAGTCAACTTCATTCAATTCGTAAATATGGTAATGGTAGAAATTTAATGTGTAGAAATCTTGAAAACATCCTACTGTACATGCACCTTTTACATATAAGCCTTACTCTTGGTAAAAGCTATTTTTCTATAAACACAAGATGCTTTGTTGCCTAAATTTTAATATTTACTCTTCCCACTTTCCTTACCATGTTTGGCACATAGTGGGAACACAATAAATATATGTTGGCATCCTTTGTTATTGGAAGGCTATATTACCCTCTATAAATTATACCCTAATGACATCTGTTCCTGGGATAACTTTGCAAGGGTTTCTGTGGTCCTTTTAGTGTGAAGAAAGGTCTTTTCTCCTCTTTCTCTCCATATATATGTACCTATATCTTTGCACATCTCTTCCAAATGTTCTGACTTAAAAATTCCATTTTATTGCGTTCAGTGAGATAGATTTTGTTGTGGTGCAATGAGATAGGACTTCAGTGCGTTGGATGCTTAGTAAACTTGTTTGAAAGAAAACTCTTTTTAAAGCAAGATGGATAATTTACCGACATCAACACCATAAAGTAAAATTTGAACACTCACCAAATGAGGCTGTGATATTCTTAGTACTGTAAGACTAGCATTCACTTTCAGAAAAAAAAAAAAGGGGGGGTCTTTTTGTGATCCTGGATAGCTTGACAGCTACTAGATATTGCTTGTTAAGTAAAATCTCACTTTTGTTGATGAGATCTATTATCTGACGTGACTCCTGGGGCTTATGACTATTTATCCATTAGTTATCATGTGGGTGAATACACCCTTTCCCTGTAAAAGTTGATTCGTAGTGTATTTGTGATTTGCTTTGCTGTGCTATATGACCCTGTCACATGCACATGTAACTCTTGTTTCAAAAACAAGTTGATATATGTTTCTGCTCCTTTTGGAAGCAGCCAAAGTCAGTGTTTCCTACTAAACTATTGCTAAAAAACTGGCAGGGAGAAATGAAACCCTATAAGATTCCATGCTTGTCCAACTCAATGGAAAAAGTAGTAATCCCCATTTGTTCTGAAACACCTGCTGGTAGGTTTAATGAGTATATTAAAAACTGAGCTGCCTTGATATTTCTTCTAAAAATCCTCTGTTCTTTTTCTTGAGCCTGTTTGATTAAAATCTGTGATTTGCTCACTGTTTTTGCCATAGTTTCATGTTTGTTTTTCATTTTTGCCATACTGTAAATTTAATCATTTACTGATATGTCAGTGTAACAAATACAGGAAAGTTGTGTACCAGATGTATTTGGACTAATTGCTTTTGGTTTTTGTTTTCCAGCTGGGACGACATATATCTTTAGCAAAGGTGGTGGACAAATCACGTATAAGTGGCCTCCTAATGACCGGCCAAGTACACGAGCAGACAGACTGGCCATAGGGTTTAGCACTGTGCAAAAAGAAGCTGTGTTGGTGCGAGTGGACAGTTCTTCTGGCCTGGGTGACTACCTAGAGCTGCATATAGTAAGTACTTTAAAAATAAGATTCAGCTTTATTTTTTACTGTTAGTTTTTTTTATTATCATAAATAACTTATAATTCTGCCTTTTAGAAGTTTCTCCTCCCCAGCAACCAGCACTTGGGTACAGAAAATAGAAATACACTTAAGAAGTAATAAGACCTTAGTCCAACTGCTGTTGCTAAAAATGTTCTTTACAATAGAAAATATATTTTTTGGTTGTTAAGTGTTAATTCCTCTCAATTCTCTGTTTAGAAGAAAGATTTATTTTGGTATGTTTTTAGTGACTTTAGGCAGACTTGCTAAATTAATAAGCTGAGTTATTGCCTAGTTGATACTGTTCCATCTGACTAGAAGCATGAGGTTGTAATACTGGTAACATCAAAAGATCTGAACCCAGTGTCCTTATTTCTTTCTTCACTTAGAAAGCAATTGTCTAAAGTTAACATGCAATGGATGGGAGAAAAGGGAACTTCAAGGGTAATTAGGGGTAGAAAAGAAAATGGCGAAAAGATTGTTTCTAGGCCGTCTTATACTCATTTTGATACATAAGTATGAAGAAAATAAAATGGACTGTTAGCATTTATATCCTGGGACGATTCCTTTTTCCCCAAGCTCTAAGCCTACTATAAGAACTTAGTCAGCATATCATAGATGGCAAAAAAAAAAAAAAAAAAAGATTTTTTTTTTTAAACCTTTTAAAGTTGCCATAACTGACTATAGCTTGGAGACTCTGCCCTATATCTCTGCATTTAAAGAGTTACTGATTTGTATAGTTGTAATTCTTTACCTCATTTTATAGCAGTATTTGCACAGAAGTACATATGGTCTCTCATTGCTAAGCGATATTAATATTTTACTGATATATAAAAGTAACAAACATAGGAAAGTGTCACATATTCAATAACTCTAATGGGTTCTTGTCATCATAGTTCTTAATTGAATATCTGTAATTTCTGGAAGGTTTCAAAAGTATATAATCTCTCCATTTCCCTTTTTATCCTTGAGGTATAGTTTATCTTTTCTGTCTCATGTGTTTATGTAAATTTGTTTTGTTTTGCTTTTGTCTATCCCTATAAGTTCTCCCTTTACCAGCACCCTATGCCTCAGAAGACAGTTTGATTAGGTCAATGTGTTCTTTTCTCTTAGAAACTGGCCTTCAGGCCTTCGTCCTAAAACGATTGGGAAAATGATCAAACACCAAAATACATGATCACAGACTTTTGTAGCGTCTTAATTTTCAAAGTTTTATTCATTTATTTTCTTAATCTTAGTTTTCCATTAGACTTCTAGAATGTCCATTTAGCTGAGTAGGGGTTTACACTGACCACAAGAGCTGAATTCATTGCTAATCATAGGAAAAAAGGGGGGGAAAAAAAAAACAAGAAAACACCTCAGCACAACCATTATCGAACCGTCATAAATTTTCAATTCAAAATGCAGTTGTCAAATGAGAACCCTGGGAAAGTAATTTCAACTGCCTTTCAGCAAATATCTAATAATCAAAATTGAAAGCATCCTGATTTTTATGGCATCATAAATAAATGATCAGTTGAGATAAGCTTAACTAGCGCAGCAAGGAATCTTGCTGTTTAGAGTAATCTCAACTTTCTAAATATATTTGCTCCATTCTGACTTAAGAGCATTGCTACTTCAAAAAAAAAAAAAAAGAAAAAGAAAACAAGTGCTTTCCCTCCTGAAAGAAATTACTTATTGATCCATCACCAATTACACATTTACCCTGAGAAAAGTTTCTACAATGATCACTCTCAAATCGTAAGGGGCTATGTTATTGAATTACTCCACTGTTGTTTGTTTTATGGTCAGAGGGTTTTAGTCTACAAGAATGGGTATTTTTTTTCCAATTTTGATCAAATGTGGGCTTAAGAGTCCCTCCATACATAATGGATTGACTTTCTAGGTGTCCATAACAGCCCAGTACCTTCCACAACTCCTTTACTTGCTGTGGATTTCTGACAGCTGTCCTATGAGGGCCTCCTTCTTTCTGAATCTCCTCGTTGGTTTGCCCACCTATTCACTTTAGGTTCAGTCTTTGTCTCAATACATTCTGCCTCTTGGATTTGCTATCTTCAGACTGTCACTTGATCTGAGAGCCAGTCCTTGACTGGGACATGGAAAATGTATATTGGTTCCCTGGGCTTGCTAAACCTTACCGTTGTTGGTCATCCTTATGCCTCCTGTCTCCATTACTAGCATCTGTCTTAGTCCAAATCTGGCCAACTAAAACTTATCTCCCTCCCTTTTCTCTCATTGCCTACAAGTGGTGATCAGCTGTTAATGACTCAGCAAGTCACTTATATGGAGACAAGTTCACTTCTTTCCATGTTTCAACATACAAACCAAATTGACACAAGACCAGTGTTGTTTTGTTTTGTTTTGTATTTTACATTATTGAAGTTTACTAATCTAACTCCTGTAATGTTGGGTACTGGGAAGAGGAAGAGAAAGAGGAGTTAGAAATTTAAAAAGGCTAGGGGAGGGGAGGAAGGGAGGGAGGGAGAAAGAGAAGGGGAATGAAGTGTTTAGGGACCAAAGTTGTTAACAACAGGTGATAGAAGTATTCTTAATAATAATACTTAGATTTGAGAATATTCAGACTCTGTTTTATCAAATTATTTAGGTACCTTTCGGTCTGTGCCAATTTCCCTCAAGTCATTTCTTCTGCTTCTTTCAAAAATGGAAATTTGAAAGGAAAACAAGATTTGTAGTTTGTTTATTAGTGTTGTTTGATTTTGGCTTATGAATGTACCTGATTTAAAAATTAACCTAATACCATACATGATATGTTTTATCTGTAAAAGTTAGTTATTATTATCCACTGAACTCCAGAAAAACTTCTGTAAACCCTCAAGGTCAGCCAAATATAAGCTGTATTAATCTTTAAGAATTATATTTCTACCCTTAATTAGTAAATTAACCAGTAAGTTGGTTGTACTCCTCAAAAGGTGCTATGGTCTTGCTGAAATGTACAATGCCATTTCAGTTAGATAAGTTTTAAAATATGATTGGCACATAATTTTGATGAAGATGTTAATATTTGACATCATCCCTTTTTATCAGAATGATCATGTTTGATTTTTACTTGAAAATATAATCATATTTAAATTTTGATTAATTGTACCTTTAAACTATAATAACTTGGAAAAAAATGGTTTTTGATTCAGATGGCCTAGTTTTTGTAGATTTTTTAAATTATATTAATAATACTACTACTGTTAACTTCAAAGCCATATGATGTTGCTATTGAAATTTGTAAGGTTTTAGGAGGGATGAGTGCAAGGTAAACACATGAAGTGAGGAGCAATTAATTAGCAAAGAGCCTAGAATACAGGTACTCAAATATTTTCTGAAATAATAAATGAATTAATTATATATTGAAAATATGAGGCTTAGGTGAAGAATAGGCAGTCAGCTTTTCATTAGTTAATGTGAAGTCACAGATGCAGTTTAGTTTCTATGTATCTGAGAAAGTCTTTAAGACTTGTTTGTAACAGAAAAAAATGTAGCACTTGATATGCAGTAGCTATATTATTGAAAAGTTGCATATTTTTATTGATGTCTGAATTTTCAAGTAAGAATTGATTATAGTAGTTGATGGTTTAAAGGAAGTGTGTGGTGGGAATTTTTGTTGTATGAATGATTATCTCTCTTTAGTAATTATCTCATTTATTGTAATTTACCTTTATCATGAATTGTTCTCTAGTCATTTCATATCTGCCCATTATTTTCCAATAGAGATAAACTGTCTAATGGCAGAGAACATAATTTGATAATAATGATGACTAATAAGAAACATAACATAATATAGAAATGTGGCTTTTCAATGTTCATTTCAGGATATGCCTGAAGACTTTCCAGAAAGATTTTCTGAGCAACTAGTATGGCCCAGGCCTATGTTAAGCTCTATAGATAAAAAAATAAATGAGCTTACCACTTAATAGTTATCTCAATAAGTATTTGTTGGGTGAATGAATGAATGAGTCAAATGGGATCCTGATCACCAGGTAGCTTAGATTATTTATAGTAAACGTACTTTGTCCCAAAATGACTCTATCTGGGTTCATCTCCATTTCTTCCTCTTGCAGTTTTAACTTTCTAATCTGTATATTTGTAAGAATATAAATAGAGGATAGCTTTTTAAGATAAAGAATATAAAGAAGTGACTTCTAAGCTGTAGGGTGTTAAACATATTAAAATTAGTCATGTTGAAGATTATTTAATCAATATTGAGTAAAAAAATTCTTAGAAGCAATAAGCAAAAAAAAAATCTAATTTATTTTAAAAATCAATTTATAAGATATATCTAGAAATGTTACCAGTGTTGTCACCCTAGAGAAAGCATCTCTCATATATATTAGTCTGGCAACGTTAGAGATTACTTAACCCCTCTGACTTACAGAAGAAAGCCAGTGCAAATGTGCTCATTCACTGCCATGAATATTAACATGTGCATTGGTTCTGACCAGAGGAAATGTATGGAGGGGTGGTGGAGAGGATGAGTGAAGAGTGTTCTTTGAAATTCTTTCATCTTGGGAACATGAAAGAGCATTACAAATTTGATTAGTGAATTGTTGTACATATTTGCCTTAAGTGTTTCTTCTTTGTACTTTCCTAGGTCAGAAGCCTTATTTTTGAAACCCAGCTCTTAATTGATTTTGATTTAGAAATACACCTTTTGATCAGCGGTTTTAGTATAGACTAGAAGCATAATATATTTAGAGTTAAAATATGACTTGTCCCAAAATAACTTATCAATATCAGTGACAAGTCAACACTTTCTCATCTTTCTCTGCATCTCTACATTTTATATTGCTTTAATAATTTTTGTTTAATAAATAAATATTATTTAATATGTTTTATACTTTATAATACTGCTTTATTAAAACTAAATTTAAAAACATCATTTTAAAGTCAATAATTATACACGAGTGCATACCCCTATCAATAAGATAAAATCCAATTAGTCCTTCTTGGAAGTGTCTTGA